TGTGTGTGTGTGTGTGAGTGTGAGTGTGTAGCACAGGGGGGAGAGAGGAGAGCAATGTTTCAATGTAAATGGATGGAGGTGAACAGACAGGATCTGCAATGTGTTTAGGAGTGTGTAGCACAGGGGGAGAGAGGAGAGCAATGGTTCAATGTAAATGGATGGAGGTGAACACAGGATCTGCAATGTGTTTAGGAGTGGATGGGATGTGGGGCTCTAAAGTAGGAGTGAGGGAGAAATTGATCTGGCAAGAGCAAATTTGCCTAATTTCACATTTTCAAACCAATAAACAAATCAAAATAAGTTTTGTTTGTGTATATAGTATATGTGTGTGCACATATGCTTTATACACTTATACACATATTTCAGAAATATACATGAAATTCCATATAGACTTTTGAGAAATGGTCAGGATAAACCTAATTTAAGACTCAAAAGATAACTTAAATTTCAGATGAACTGAAGATTGGGAAAATGAAAAACCAAACTGACAGACTTGTCCATTCCTGATCTGAATGGCCAAACGTATTTATGACAGAAAAATATAAATGATGTCTGGTAGTAGTGATCATTGTTCTATATCTTTTTCAAGAAAATCAATCAATCAATAGTGTGACATAGTAGTGATTATTGTCAGTTGAGAAGGGGGGGTGCTTCCAGTCCCACTCACCATCTGCTTTATGCACCAGAGGTCTGAGGCTACTGAGGACAATTCCTCCAGCAGAAAAAAAAAGGTTGCCTCATTTTAATTTAAGCAGAATTTCAGATTAGTTTCTCCCAAAAGCTTTAGATGATTTTGTAGTGTCAGTGTGCAGACCCTCACTAGACTTGAAATGCACCAGTAACAGCCAAATATATTTCTTTGCAGAGTGGAGCAGGAGCAATCCAGATGGCTGTTCAAGTGAACATCATTAAATACTTATTGTTTGTACGAAACAAAGAGAAAAATATACACCTTCAAAGGTAAGAAAATACATTCGGGATACAAGAGAGATGTTTGTTTATGCCCTATGAGTGCGGCGTTCCAGAATATGGATTCCAAGTCAGCTTGTTTTTAAGATTTTGCAGTATAGGACAAAATTGTCACATTCACATACTATACTAGCACATTGTTCATGCTAAACTTCACAACCTGGAATGGGCCCAAGTAAATTTTGGCCTTGCAGATTTCCCTGCTTAGTGTTAACCTTTTTTTTTCATTCCAGGTAACATGACAAACCACAATTAACAAAAGTGGAAGCAAAATATGTTAGGTTTATTTACTGTTTCAGATTGCAGAGTACAGCAATCTAGTGCTCAGCTACAGATGTGCAGATTTGTGTGTTTTTTACTTCAGCTCCCACAATTCCCTGGGAAGCATGGCAAGTGCAAACCCATAAAGCTAGTTCCAATTCCTATCCATGGTAATAATGTATATTATCCAAATGCAGCCACTGCCATCCAAAAATATACACCAACAAGTTCTCACATGTTGTTTTTATTTGTCAGCATAGTTTCCATCATAATCTTTTTCTGTCTTTACAGTTTATGTGAAATCAGCCAAAATGAGCAAGGAAACACCCTTGCAGCAGCTCTGGCAGATATTCTGTGGAGAGCAGGAGAAGGTCAAAAAGCTACCATTTGCCTTGTCACCAGAGACACATATTTTACTCCAAGTACAGACTACAAAGTGGACCACTTTACTGAAAGAGTGAGTAAGAGAGGTTATATTAAAGAAAAAGTAAAGATTTGGAAGGGGGGAAATGTCTGGTTTGACTCTTAAAGGTAAGAAGTAGAAAAAAGCTTCAAAACATGTCAAAAATGTACTGTCATAAGCTGATGTTAGCCACCAACTTGAGGCCAAATTAAATTATACAGGTAGCCCATCAGTATAATGTGTAAATTGTGTCTTTTTATTCTAGCACAAGCTTTCCTCACATCTGTTTGTTGCACGTTACCTTGTTTTTGTTTTGTGTTGGTCATCAAAGAAACTTGGGTGACATTTGCAAATCTGATTACTCAGGTATATAGCATGGAAAGAACCATGTGCCTGAAAAAAAATTGTAATAGCAAGAATTACATGTTTCCCTTAATATATAATTTGATCATTGTATGGTTGTAAAAGGGGATAACATTTATTGGTGAAGAATAAGACTGTCAGAGGCTGCCAGTCATGATAGCTGGTCATTGCCTCTGGGAGGCATACCAGTTTCTGGGGCAAACATTGGTGAATGGAGCTATTGCTCTCATGGCCTTCCTGACAGACATGATCTGCTTGACAGGGAAATGGAGGCTGGTCTGGCCTGGTCTACAGGACTCTTCTTCTGTGCCCTGCCTGGCACCACCCTCCTCTCTCACTTCAATTTGTCCCAATGAATCAGGGTTGTAAACTCGCTAGTCAGAAAGCTGGAAAGGTATTGTGGGTGAGAGGGCCAAGGAGGAGAAACAATAGGTCTTTATAGATTATTGATGTTCATTTGCAGGTCCAGTTGTTTGACTTCTTTGAGAAAGAAACAGCTCAGCAATTTCTCTATGACCACATACACTGTGTAAGTGGAAAAAATGTAGTGTCCTCTTGACAAATGTATTTTCTACCAGCTGATGCTTCTGATTATATCTAAAGGTGGAATAATGCAAATTTAATTGTAAGGAAGTAAGTACCACCACGTCCAAGGAGGCTTAGTATTGGATAAGTACACACAAGAGCGCAATCACATTCTTGTATATAAAATAGATCTGCTGTTGTTCCAGGTCTAGCTAATACACTTCTTACATATTTAGCACAGTTCCCTCCCCACTCACACAACTGCAATGAGAAAGACTGGTGCAAATCAAGTATATAGGTTATTATAATCTGAAGTATAACATTCACTCTTCTTTCCTATTAACCAGTTGAAATGTGAAGAAAGTCATGGAGTGATCTTATTTCTCTACAGTTTACTTTTCTCTAGGACCTTTGAAAGGTAAATAAACAGTGTGTGTCTTTTCTTTATTAATGCTTAGATTTAAGCTGAGTGTACTTGGGGGCAGGGAACGTATGGGAACTGCATCCCACGCTGGGAACATCATGTGCAGCTGAGAACTATAGATTTCTGCTTGTTTGCAAATAAGTATGTCTGTGTGCCTGGACATTATACTATAATTAAAACAAATCTTCTTTGTGTTGGCTTGAATAGGCTTCAGAAAGACATGGACTACACTGCAACTCATCTGTTACAATGTAGGCTTGGACACTTCATCTGTGGACAAGTATGTGTATGAAACTTACCTTATTTCAGTACAGTGGTGCCTCAAATAACGAGCATACCGTTTAACGACAAATCCGCATAGTGACGCGTTTTTGCAATCACATTGCGATGTTTAGATAGGCTAAACATCGCATTGCGATGATCGGTAAGCGTTTCGCTTACTGATCTTCGCATTGCGATGTTTAGAAAACAGCTGATCGGCTGTTCCAAAATGGCTGCTGGATCAGCAAAATGGCCGCCTGCAGCGTTTTCGCACCCTGCTCTCGCTTACCGGGCAGCGAAAATGGTGGCCGGATAGGGGAATCTTTGCTTACTGGTGAGTTTTTCCCCCATAGGAACGATTTAAACGGAGTTTAATGCGTTCCTATGGGGTTCCCCCCCCCCCGCATAGCAATGAATCCGGATAGCGACGTTAATCCTGGAACGGATTAACATCGCTATGCGGGGCACCACTGTAGTTTTCTTCAGCATATATTATTGGCTTTACTCAAATGCTCTCAAATATTATTTATTTATTTATTTATTTATTTATTTATTTTACTTATTTACTTATTTACTTATTTACTTATTTACTTATTTAACTTATATGCCGCCCACACTACCTGAAGGTCTCTGGGTGGCTAATCAGCAATGCTGGTGACAATCTATTTGCAATAACTGAACAAATTTGGGGCATTTCATCTCTTTTATAACTCAAAGCATTGTGCACACTTTAATAAAATAAATAAGAGAGGCTTGAAATAGCCAACGTTTTTTGTCATGATTCATTTCAGTGCTTAATAACGATGTCTACATTTCTTCATAATTAACTACATCATTTGGAGCAAACAGGGTAACTTGATATTTATATAATATTTATATAATACTTATATAATAAGCAATTTGGTACTTTTAAGAACCTCATTATATGTTTTTGTGCCTAATGGGGAATAATTTGCTAATCTGCAGCCAATTTGCTCTGGTATGGTTCACACTACGTGTTAGAACAGCTGCTATTACCAGTAATATGCCAAGGTCAGTCTTGTCATCTCTCTCATGTGCCAGTATGTACAAACATAACAACAATACAGTTACTTAACCTGATATTATTACTTGGCTGGGTTAAAGACTGGGGAAGCTGTACCCATTTTTTTAAAAAAAACTGGCACATGAAGCCTTAAATAATACTGTTATGGGCGGTATTAAAATACACAAAATGTACAAAAATGTGCCTGTGAGCCAAAACAGGCAAGTCATTGGAGGCTCAAGATCAGGTCCCCTGTCCTAAGATTTTCTTTCTTTCAAGCATTGACAGGGGCTTGATTTTGATGGAAGAGTGACCATGGGGAGAGGGATGCTATTTCTCCCTGGTTATTATTGTTTTTCCTGATCTAAATTGCCCCCAGATGCTGTTAGACCCATAGTAGCCCCTAATTGCTCTGAGACCCAAGTGTGGGGATGGGGGAAGCAGGTAGTTGTACGTTGCCTTTTTTTAAATTTCAGTTTTATTTGGTGATAGGTAGCAAGCAGACAATCCCTCCCCAATGCTTCACTTGCAATGCAAATTCCCCCATGGCCTTTTTAAATATTAAAGAATAGATTAGAATGTCTAATCATAGATCTCTGACATCACACCTGTTCTGGCCTTTCTTGTCATTCACTGAGTTTGGATTCTTCAGTTCAATATCTGATTTGTCACTGAAAGAATGTAATCTAGGTTCTTTCTCTCCTTTAGGCAGTTTTGAACCTCATTTTAACAGGCAGAGCTAGTCCGCATGTGTTTAACGGCTTGCAGAAGCTTGAGATCGAAGGCAGCATGCAAAAAGTACTGCATGGCGTTTTGTCCCGCAGCGATGTCGGCTACTTACACTGGAGCAAGGAAGAAACGGAACATGATAGGTCCCTACAAGTGAGATAAATATTTGGCTTGACCTTGCCTATTGTGAGAAAATATATAAAATTAAATCTGCTCATCGAGATTCCACAGAGCAACATTATTTAGCAAGAAGGGTCTTAAACTCCCTGAGAGATCAAGTTTTAGTGATTAATTATATTTTCTCTATAATTCACATTAACAGACTGTCTCTTCATGTCCACTAGTAATGAGAAAATCTTAGTCACTGGCTGTGTTTTCACAGCTACAGTTACATTAACTACAGTTTCTTGCTTTAATTACTTATTGTGCCAAAGACAAACAAACAAACATTTCTAGTATTTCTCTCTCTCCTACTTCTGTAAGCCGCCTAGGTATATATAAATAAGCAAGCTCCTGTCCCAGGATAAGCAATTGGTGAAACAAACCAGGAATAGCCATGCTTGTCTATTCACACATAATGACAGGCCATGTTTTAGGGAAGCCAGACTTCACAAGTCAGTGATCAACCATGGCATTTAACTGTAACTACAAACCAGCTAACTGACCGTGATTTACTGTATTTGGAGATGTGAATTCCCAGACACATTGCCAAGTCAAAATTCAGCAAACCATGACCTGGTTTATCATTACATGCAAACCTGGCCAATGAGCACTTGCAGTGGCAAGTCAAAAGCAAACTCAACATTGACCAGTCCATCAGATTGTCTGGAACTGGAGCCGGAGTCCCGGAGGCAGTTCATGTCATTCTGTCAACTCCTGCGACATCACTGGAACCAGTTGTATTGGCTCTTGCCTTTCCATTGGACTATTTCAGTGACATGGAGAGGGGGGATTTGCTGGTTGGGTAACAGCCTATCCTCCATATTATTTTACCCAGGCTTCATGCCCTGGAGAGGACACTCCAGCTTCACATACAGCGTCAAAACACTAGATGCTGTTGCAAGTCCTCCATACAGAGCACGTTACCATAGTCCCTTGAAACTAAAGGATGCCTATGATGATGCTATCATGGTCAGGTTTATCATTCTCTTATATAACAGCAACACGTCCTCTTTCTTGAGGAGAATATATCACTCAAGGTCAAATACTACTTTATCACCAAATGGGTCTTTTTGCCATCTTGCCATTTCAAATTATTACTCCCCATTAGATTACACAAATTGATGGTCATACTATTCCTACTTTTGATCGAATGGCAAACTCCATCACACAGAATTTGCAGCAATAACATGACATGATTTGGAAAAGTGAAATTCTTGTCACCAAAACCTTTCTATTCTTCTGTAGACAAACTGCCTCAAGGATGTAGGCAGAGCATTTCTGAAAGGCAAAATTGTAGGTTAGGGTGGAAGACACGCACATTGTCAGTTACTATAAAATTCAGACATGGTCTATACCCTTTTTTAAAGACAAATTTGTTATTTATTATTAAAGCCATCTGTAAAGTTTTGAATTAATTAGTAACACTGCACTGTCAGGCTTTTATAAACTCTCAGTTATTTCCACATAACAAATCATTGAAAGTATGATAAATTGTAGATAATTATTTGTCCACCAGTGACATAAGTAGTCTTTGAGTGCAGCAAAAATTGCCTGCCAGTATTGTGTTTTTTCTCTGTTATTTAGACTGATAGCAAGGAGGTTACAGAGTGTGTTAACCTCAAAGTGTGCATTCTGGAGATACTAAATATCCCATACCAATATGATGTGGTTCTTTACAAACCTAATGCAGTCATCGCAATAACTGAAGGATGGTGTCGAGATCACAAGCAGTAACAGTTCAGTCTGTTCTGCACTGGTCAAATTGCATTTGAAGTTCTGTTTCTAGATGGAGCCTACATAATTTAAGAAGGACATTAACAAACAGGAACTGTTGTTTTCATTTACATTGATAATTCGCCCTTTCCACTTAAAGCATTCAAGGTGACTGGCAAATACCATCAAAACAGATTAAATGCCAATTAAATGCAAATTAGGAACAAACTGACAACAGATTAAAATCACCCGAATCAAAGCAGTTAAAATTGTCACGATAACCAGTTCTGTCCAAAGGAGGATAGCTAGGATGAGGAGAGGTCTGGGAATCCCTGAGGAATGGTTAGAAGAATTGGGAAGGAACAAATTATGCCCAATCTAGGTGTGGTATTGTTTCAGACCCTCTCATCAGGATTGAGTTTGCAGTAAGAACCAGAGGGTTTATGAGTTAGTAGATTCATGACCCTTTCTTCCATGAACACTGATTGCTCTGTCCTGACCCTAGCAAGGATTAATCACGTTTCCAATGCGTCTTGCAGTGATTTTTTAAATTTTTTTCTTCAGCCGGAACAGATTAATTGCATTTCAATGGGAAATGGTGCTTCAACTTACGACCATTTTGACTTACGCGCATTTTCCGGAACAGATTACGTTTGTAAGTCGAGGCACCACTGTATTTAAAAGCTAAAACAGTAAGTATATTAATGTTTAAAAAGAATTAAACAAGTACTACATTAAAATAGTAACTAAGATCAATTTTAAAGCACATTTAAAACAACAGAGCACAACAGCCCATTTAAAACCTCTCTCAGACCACCAGTCATTTAGGAAAAGCCTGCCTGAAGAGAAAGATCTTTGCCTGCCTGCTGAAGGACAGCAAAGATGGGTCCAACCTGGCTTCCTTTGGGAGGGAGTTCCAAAGTCTGGGAGCAGCGACAGAGAAGGCCCTCTCCTGTATCCCCACCAAGCGCACCTGTTAGGATGGTGGGAATGAAAGACATCCCCTGATTATCTTAATGCATGAGCAGGCTCATAGAGGGAGTTACGGTCTTTCCCTGTTAGGATGGTGGGAATGAAAGACATCTTCTGATTATCTTAATGCACGGACAGGCTCATAGAGGGAGGTACGGTCTTTTGGATTGCTTGGACCCAAGCCATTTAGGTTAAAACCAGCACTTTGAATTGTGCCCCAAAACAGATTGGCAGCCAGTGGAGCTGCTATAACAGGGGTGTTACATATCCACTTTGAATTGTGCCCAAAAACAGATTGGCAGCCAGTGGAGCTGTTACAACAGGGGTGTTACATATTCCCTGTAACCTACCCCAGTTAACAATCTGGCTGCAGAATTTTGGACTTTTTGGAGTTTCCAAATACTTATCTCAAGAAACAGGTGTGCTAGTTTTAACTGTGAAGAGGCACTCCTGCCATCACTGAAACCTGGGCATCCAGGCTCAGTAATGAATCCAGGAGCACTCCCCCAAGCTGCACCCCTGTGTTTTCAGAGGGAGTGTAACCCCATCCAGCACAGACTGCAACCCTATTCCCTGATCTGGTATTTAACTGACCAGGAGCACTTCCGTCTTGTCTGGATTAAGTTTCTAGAATCATAGATTACAGATGCCTATGATGTTCTATTTGCCCTAATTACAAACTTGCTGGATGAAATCCTGTTGCTTAACATAGTAAGTCACAACTGGAGTAGGCCCACTGAATCAGTGGGGATTTGGCGAGTCAGCTTCTCTCTATGTTCCATTATGAGCCTAATCTAGTTGTGATTTACTATGCTAACCAACAAGATTTCGGCCACTCTGTGTTCCTGTCCATGCTGTAGAGCACAGGATTTGTCTCTTAATGACTGTACCACAGACATCACATCTCCTCACAGCAACATATAGGCCAATGCTCACTGCTTCCAGCTATCTGCTTTAGGCTCTTATTTTTAAATCATGCCATTAAAGAGGAGTGAGTTTTGAAGAGGTTGTCCCTTTTTTAAAGTTTTAAAGGTGGATTTTAAACCTTTAGTTCACTGTGTGGTTGTGTACAAATGACATTCTTTTTTTCCCCTAGGTGGGAAGTATGCTCAAGACTCCAAAGTTGCCTATATGGCTGTGCAACATCAATGGAATATACAGTGTTCTTTTCAGCACCAACAGGTTGCTCTTGTCTGACTGGAAAGTGGAGCACCACTTTGATTTGTATTTCTATAACGGGGAACCCTCACAGAAGACAACAGTGCATCTAACAATAGGTAGGCACTTACATGGACCAGAGCAAAAAATTTACCGTAAATGAATACATTAACCAATTTTTTCACTATCATCTGTCCATCAAAGTATTTTCCTTGAACAATGTTCAAATTCTTTGTTATGCATTACCCTTTCTCATAAATCAAAGGGAAAGCCCTTTTGAGTTGAGTGTACTTTTTGGTTTCTAAACTCTCTTCTTATTGTTAGTACAATATAATACCCAAAAGGCAAAACTAAGAGGAAAAGGAGAGGAGATTTTAAAAATATCACAGCACTTTAAAGATAACAGATTTATTTCAGTGTGAGCCTTTGTGAATCAAAGTCACTTCTTGAGACACAAGTACTAATACTATGCCTTCTACAGTATATTTAACCTGATGATGGTGACAATAATGACCAGGTGAGGAATACAGGTAATAGAAAAAGTGGCAATGGCTTTTTAAATCAGGAATGGGACTCTCAGGTTATGCTTATCAATATAAGTTGCTGGAGTATGAAACTTTAGGTAAATAACAGCTTCATAGAAATGAAGAAAGAATTACATATGTTGCTCCAGTCTCTTTGTGTCAAAAATAGAACAGAACAGAACAGAACAGAACAGAACAGAACAGAACAGAATAGAATAGAATAGAATAGAATAGAATATTCACCTAGAGGTCATGCTATATATTATGCTCAAGTTAAAATGAGCTAGAAACTTGCCTCTGTCTTCCACTTTTGCCTATGCCTCTGGGTCAGACTGAGCTTAGAAACACATCATGGTATCACCATCTCTTTGAACACTTATTTTAAAATTGCAGGCTCTGATTCATATTGGGGGCATGGCAAAGGAGATGAAGAATTTAAGCCTTCCCCTTTTTTCATCATTTCTCCCCCATCCAGTTCCCCCCACCACAAGAAAAGGTGCTATTTGGCTTTTACAGTATTTTGGTCTAATGCTTTTAACCCTTGGTCAGAATCTTCCTTTTATTATTATTACTTTTTTACACACACATAAGAGAATATGCAGATTTTCACTGCAGCAAATAGTAAGGTTCTGTTCTTTTGCCCGACTGTGTTCCTGGGTTGTGTATCTGGCTGCACACTGGTATATGCACAGGACACAAATAGCACCTAGTTGTAAGCCACAAATAGCCTTGGTGACTTCTGCATTTTCTGGCCAATAGGATACTGGCCACCATGTCATGAAAATAAATACTGCTGAAGCATAAGTGAGTTTAAGAAGAGTCAAACAAACAGACAATGAGCTCCAGACTTCATCAATTAAGGACAGATCCATGGAAATCCATGAAATTTAAATTCAGTTCCCTCTTAGACATGAAAAATGCTAACATCTACTGATTTCTTTGGGGCTACTTAAAGCGTAACTAAATCTGGATCTAACCTATAATCAGGATTCTCCATTTTGTATGAGGCTATGTGTACCTATTGGTTCTTTTTTCCTTCTTTCAGACACTCATTCCCATCACTGGGAAGAAAAGCACCATGTGGAAGATGGTGATCCAGAAAAAAGATGCCCTTCTGTGGAAATGGCAATCCGGACTAAATGGGAGGGGGCCGCCATTAACTGGAATGGCACAGTTCCATTCTTCTGATAAAATCAGCCCTAGGCCTGGGTGTTGTTCAGCCTTTTATCCACAGGCTATCTCATTTCCAGCAGGAGGAGGAAAAGGGAGGAGGCCGACAAATACAGAAACATTGGTGGACCAAACATTGACAGTTTAATACAGTTGCTAACTGGACTTTCAATTTCCGTTCTAAAGCTCAGAAAATAAATTAGATGCTTATTCTTGGAATACAATGATCTATGCAACTTATACATACATGTGTACACAGAGACATCGTGTGTGTGAATTATTGCTTTTCCAAACCATTTTCAAGGTATATATTGGAAGAATGCAGTATGTTTTGTAAATATAAGTGGTGTGCAATAGTCAAGAGCATTTTGGTTATTGCAGTAGGCATCAAAGCCTTAAAAGGCCCAGTTTGAGCCAACCCCCCTCCATTACCATGCACAGCAGCCCCATAGATGACCCATGTATCAGCAACATCAGGTTGAAGAGGGCCCCTCCTATCTATTTAGGATTTCTTTCACAGCACAGAGATCTTATGAGGCCAAGGTTCCCATCTCTGTGTCAAAAGTCTTACATGAACAGAAGTAGCTCTCTTCAGATTCATGTTACTCCCAGACTAGCTGATGCTGTGGCTGCCACGTGCATCATTGTCAAGGGAATGGGATGAAACCTCGTGTCCCTAATGGCCTCCTTTATGCTTTCAGTACTTTCAGGACTGTCAATTAGAAATGCAAAACAACACTGACAAGAAGAACAGCACAATGACCCAGGAATAGATAGGAGATTTGATTACAAATGTTCGCTAAAAGAAAGAAAATGAGATAGCTGCAGGAAAGAAATGAATACATTTCAAATAATTAAATTGAATACTAGAAACAATGTGCATTTCTGGTGGAAAATCCTAACATCCTAAAAGGATAATGAGTTTATGCTGAATTTGAAATGTCAGAGACTCAGTAATGACTTGAAAAATCTTTAGCTGCAAATTATTCTTCAATAGCTTTGTGCAATTAGCTATATAACAGCACTGCCAAGCGTGTGTGTGTGTGTGTGTGCGTGTGTGTGTGTGTGTGTGCGCACACATGTGCGTGCTGTTGTCCCCTCATACAATATGTAGTCTGGACACCCTCCTGTCTTTCTACATACAAACAACAACTCACATTAACCAGTGAAATCCACATCATCACAAGTTGATAACAAGGGCTCTGCAGTGAATTGTCTACACAAAGCAAGTATTTCAGGATGGCTGGTGATTTGACAAAAAATCCACAAGGTGGCGTTCAGAACTGTAAATCTTTCAGACAAGGATGTCCCTGACATACAGCTACTCAGATACCTTGTGAATCTCTACACAGAGGCTGGAATCCTGTTGTTGTTTTTTAGTCAATTAGTTGTGTCCGACTCTTCATGACCCCATGGACCAGAGCACGCCAGGCCCTCCTGTCTTCTACTGCCTCCTGGAGTTGGATCAAATTCATGTTGGTAGCTTCAACCATCTCATTCTCTGTCGTCCCCTTCTCCTCTTGCCTTCACAGGAATCCTTTTAGGTAACTTTATGCCGTGCAACTCGGGTGATGTCACTAAGGCTTTCCCTTAGTGACCTGCTGTCTGAGAGGGGTATTTTTAAAAATGGATTGTTGTGCTCTGTTGTTTTAAAATGTATTTTTACTTTTTTTTTTTACTGTTTTAATATGCAGGTTGTTTAATTCATTGCTCTGTTGTTTTTAAATGTATTTTTACTTTTTTTTTTAACTGTTTTAATATGCTAGTTGTTTAATTCATTTTAATACTTATATACTTACTGTTTTTTGCTTTAAACATTGTATTTTTAATTATATAAGCCAGCTGGGGTATTTTTGAGGATAAAGGGCTTAAAATATTTTAAATAAATAATGTTATTAACCACAGATGTTTTGAGGAAATTTAAAGTTTCCCATTCTCCCACACCTGGTTTCAATGATCGTTAGGGATCCCGGGAATGCCTTTGGGAATGATGGAATGAGCAGGAGGGGGATTCTTTCATATCTGCAAATTGTTGCTGCCAGTCCTGATCCTGCCACTGGGACCAGCAGCTGCTACCATAGACGTTAAAGAGCACTGTAGATTTTGATGGCTCAACATCAGATCCCTTTGACATCTGAAGCAGAGTGAAACAGGGCTGTGTCCTCACACCAACCCTTTTTGGGATCTTTTTTGCTGTCATGCAGAAGTATGCCTTTGGAACTGCAACAGAAGGTGTCTATCTCCAGACTAGATCAGACAGAAAGCTCTTTAATCTCTCTAGATTGAGAGCGAGGACCAAAGTCCAACTGAAATGCATACGGGACTTCCTCTTCACAGATGATGCAGCCATTGTTGCCCACTCTGCTGAAGACCTCCAACAACTCATGAATCGTTTTAGCAAGGCCTGCCAAGACTTTGGACTAACAATCAGCCTGAAGAAAACACAAGTCATGGGCCAGCGCATGGACTCACCTCCCTCTATTACCATCTCCACACAAGCATTGGAAGTTGTTCATGACTTTGTGTACCTTGGCTCAACGATCTCTGACACACTCTCTCTAGATGTCAAGCTAGATAAACGCATTGGCAAAGCAGCTACCATGTTCTCTAGACTCACAAAGAGATTATGGCTCAATAAGAAGCTGACGACATATACCAAGATCCAGGTCTATAGAGCCTGTGTCCTGAGCACACTCCTGTACTGCAGTGAGCCCTGGACCCTTTGTGCACAGTAGGAGAGGAAGCTGAACACCTTTCATATGCGTTGCCCAATGGATTTTTTTTGTATCACCTGGCAGGACAAAGTTCCAAATAGAGTAGTCCTAGAACGAGCTGGAATTTTTAGCATATACTCTATACATTACTGAAACAGTGACGTCTACGTTGGCTTGGGCATGTCATGAGAATGGCTGATGGTTGGATTCCAAAAGATCTCCTGTATGGAGAATTAGTGCAGGGAAATCGCCCCAGAGGGAGACCACAGCTGTGATACAAGGACATCTGCAAGCAGGATCTGAAGGCCTTAGGAATGGACCTCAACAGAGGGGAAACCCTGACGTCTGAGCATTCAGCCTGGAGGCAGGCGTTGCATCACGGCCTCTCCCAATTTGAAGAGACCCTTGTCCAGCAGGCCGAGGCAAAGAGGAAGTCACAAAAGCAGCAAAATCAGGGAGCTGGACAGGGGACAGACTGGATTTATCTTCAGTGTGGAAGGGATTGTCACTCTCGAATCGGCCTCCTCAGCCACACTAGACGCTGTTCCAAGTCCTCCATACAGAGCACGTTGCCATAGTCTTTCGAGACTGAAGGATGCCTAACACGCGTTTAACACACATTTAACATACACGTACATACAATGTCAACAAATTCAATATTTATCTTGGCATCTGTTATGGCCTAGCTTAAATTATTGGCCTCCTATTATGAGTACCTCTCCTCAAAGAGGTATGTGAACTGATTAAGATCCAGCAGTCTGTGTCTGATACTTATATCAGAAAGTACATGTATTTGCTATGTCCAGGGTGATAACGCTGTTGTTTCTGCAGCCAAAACAGTTCCACCATACATAAGAGACTTGGAAGTCCCTGAGGTTTACAAAATGTTCAAAAAATATTTAGGGCAAATATTAAAAGAGGAGAATAAAAACAACCTGCGAGACCTGAATAGGCTCAATGAACATGAAATATTATCTTTTGTGTGGATGGAATAGAGAGCCAGAGGAAACCTGAACAATCGAACCACAACATACACCATTTTGTTGCAGCAGATTCCGCGTATTACTGAATGTCACATTTTATTTGTTTGTCACATTTTAAAGTGCTAACAAATAACTACTTTGGACATACCATATTTATGAAAAACAACAAGCACATGATTTTATGCTGCTGTTTTATTGATTGTGAGGGGCCTTGAGCACATTACCTAAAAAACCTTGTTAGAATGTTTTAAAAGGAAGAAATAAAATCTCTAGCATGACACTACATTCCAGACAACCTACTTTATTTCCTTTGTAGCTCCTAATAAATGGTGAAAAACACAGATTCCTGACTAAACAGGCATATAAAAGTTTTTCCCACTCTCTATGCCCTTAAAAGGGGGTTCCACAAAAGCCAATTGACTGGCTGTTGTTGTTTCCAAATGTGTACAACACAATATAAGCCTGCACGTTCAGCAAAACAGTGGTGGTGCTGTACAAAATGTCACATGCAGCGCTAGCTACATGTCTCCCTTCCAGTCCGTACCATAAAGTGAAACACTATTCAACCTGTTTTCTATTCAAAACAAAAAGCATCATACTCTTGTCGTTATCCACATCAGTGTTGGTGCCCTGGTCATTGGCACATCTGCAGTATGATTCAGTCCTGCTTTAAAATGCAAAGACAATTTCTAAATTGCTACTCTGTAAGAAGGGCATTTGGGGAATTGAACCCTGATAAATGCAAGCTGACTTAAAACGATTGACTCTTAATGTTATCTCTTTGGGGAGCTGCTACTGGGTGCAGTACATAGATCCTGCTTGGCATCTGATCCATTAGCATGTTAATCTCTATCAATTAGAAACAAGCACACCTGAGCACCAGAAGCTTTTATACCCCATTCTGACTGAGCATCACCCAGGCAAGCTCAACAGCAGATGCTCTAAAAATACAAAATTTCCATGTGTTTTTGATCTGTGTGTTGAACAGTTAGGAAGATAAAGTGCCCATCCATTTCCTGTCACTTTTTTGGCTACAGACCTATGAATCTGTTTAGGCCTTGCAGCACAGAACAGTAGCTTCATTGAGAAGCAATTTCTTAAAAACTGTCAATCATAGAAGACGGTGCAAGACATCTTGGACTCAGACAACTTTGATATTTTATTTATTTATTTAATTATTTTATACCCCGCCTATCTGGTCATTGCGACCACTCTAGGCGGCTGGTTTCGCTTCATTACTTACATGCAGCTACAGAAAGACAAATATACCGGTACTCTGCCAATCCTTCTAACATTCATGGAAGGCTATGCTGGCCCACCTCCTCTTCAGATGCTCCTGTTCTCATCAGAAACAATGGCATGCCAACCCACAGCTTCATAACTGTAAAGTAAAAACTAATGTGGAAGGACTTAAAACTCTACAGCAGTGGTTTCCAACCTTGGGTCCCCAGATGTTCTTGGACTTCAGCTCTCAGAAATCCTGACCAGCACAATGAGTGGTGAAGGCTTCTAGAAGTTGTGCAGATACCACTCTGATGGCAGAAAGTGAGGAGGAA